TCACATTCGCGCTAACGTGTATACTCTGCCAATTGAATTTTGTACAGCCAATGGGAAATAGGATGAAAGACTCTCTCTTGAGGCGTGACCAGTTGAAATGCAGGAAGAACTGATCTCTGACTAGGGTGGATCATAGGCGTATTGCTTTTTATGCCTTCACGCTGATGTTAGCGGCATAGATAAGCTGAGTAGCGGCTGCCATTACACGAATATAGATTTGGCAATTCATTCTATGTGACTTATTCAAACTTCGAGTCAAAAGCTCATCCATGTTCGATTCCGCTTAAACAACAATACAGAGCACGTGCCTGTTTAATGCATTGCAAGTCTGGCTCAGGCGTAGGTATGTCAGAACGGGCTAGAAGCTTCACTGAGCGCGCATAGGGCTTGAAAGCTCAGCAAAAACCGCACGGCTATTGTGGCCAGTAAGCGTACGAGTCAGTATAGAAAATGCATCCGGAAAAACCTCCAGGCTTAGCGGAACCCCAGTGGCAGCTCAACCGAAATGTACCGATATATGTACCAGTTCGTCTTCGACTGGGGCTCTTGAAATTTTCTGCGGACTTCAATTGGAGTCCATCTTTTCTTGCAAGACGGAATTTTGTACAAAATATCATATTCGCTGTTGTATAAAAGTCCATCTCTAGGCAGATTTTCTTTGCACAGGCAGCTGGAGTTTACACGTTGTTGCACCGCGGGCCTAGAAGCTGAATAAATGAAGCCATGGTCTATATGTAGTAATCTGTGTATCAGGTTGTATTCTTGAACACAAATCGCTGTTTCTAAGAAGGGTTTTGACTCCACGGTAGCATCTTGAACTTAAACTCACATGCATGACCGGGACCATGGACTCTGTTGGCTATTGAGGTGTCCCTGAAATAGTTATCTTTCAAAATGAACCATTCTAAAATAAACGGCTTCCGATGAACGAAGGATCGTCAAATTTTGAGTCCGTTTTTCGTTATCACTTAATTTATACCTAATATAACTCTTCAGTCGCATAGAAAAGCTCGATGTCGGATGAGAAGCGCCCAATTCGTTTCCAACGCATTAATTGTACTAACACCTGTGAAGAGTTTGTTCTATGAATAGCTATCTTAAATAAATACATACATATATACATATATATTTACTGAGACAGTAAATAACCACTAGGTCGAACTTTGGAATCGAGTATTAATTGTTATATTGACCTTGAGCAAAGTTTTGATATACGATAGGAAATTGAAGTAGTCTACCTTAAACGGTATCACTCTGGTATAAGAATGATTAATATCACTAGAGACATAAATAAGATATCATTATAGTATAAAATGCTGTTATTAACTCGCAGTATCTTCCTCGTTCTGCTTAGAAGATGCGTCAAAGTAAGTGGCGAAACATGACTAGACTAGGACGAGCGATGTTTAAACGTTACAGAATTTTTTTTAGGCTGCATTTGCCTCGCGCAAAGGCTTTTTTGCAGGAGGTTAAAGGTGTTGCTAATAGAACATGGTTTTACAAGGATTAACGCGAGATCTCACTGCCAACATTTGTATCTCCTATTTATCTCTATATGCACCCACATTCTGGTGAGCAGTTTAATGGTCGCGTAAATAAAGTGAATACGCGACACCTTTAGCGTGCCAACACAAGTAAGCGGTCAAAGCGGCAGATTCAGCTAAAGCCTTCATCGCAATCAGAGTTGATTCTTCAAGAGTGAAAGATTATCTTCATGGATGAAAAAGAAGTGTCGTAATAGTGTGACGCATGTTTACGCAGGCGGGCGGGCGGGGGGGGGGAGAGTGCCTACACTCATGGCTTGCGAAATTACGGAGCGGTTTAATTCGGATTAATTTAAAAGACGCCAATCAGGTGACAAGGAAGAACAACATATTATGATGTGACCAACAACTATTGGATTTGTTCAGTTCTGATCTTCGCAGTTGGCCAGTGGGTACATATCTCATCAGTTAGGCCGGATCGGGAATGCAGCCAATAAATGAACGTTAAATATATTTCTCTACTGGACGAAGTGTTCGAGACAGGCCGCACTGTTTAGCTATGCCCTCTAGCTCGGACGCAGCAAATGATGAAAGTTAGATAAGTTATTTCACACCTGAAAAGGCAGCAGGTAAGTGGCGACAAAGTTATTATAATGAAGCATAGCGTAGGCGCTGCGTCTCTAACCATAAAAAAGAAGACAATACCCATTTCATACCTAAGCATGTATACGTTTAACCGAATTGTTAAAATAGAATGATTTAAAAGCAATCCAGGCAGGACATTGGACCAACAGACAACTACAGAGATAAGTGTTTTGGATCTATGCTTATGTGTTAAGTAATAATGGTGCTGCATCATAGTCTCTGCAATGTATACACAGATTCTACAAGTGTTTTTTTTAGCATTTATTTAATATTTAAATTGCATAAAACGTATACCATGCCGTTTCATGGGCATGTTGGAGAAGCCCTAGCTATATCCATCATAAGCCATCCCCGCTAGACCTTCTAATGGAGACGAATCCTTTATGCTATATCGAGGTGATTCCGAGAAGCTGTTCACACAACAGATACAGGTGTAAATACTCGAAAAATGTTAGTACTGGCTATGGGGAACTGGTAAGATGCCCTGTGCGAATCCATCTGCACAGAAGATTCTCATAAATATATGTGCCAACATCACGATGATTAATTTGAGTGCCCCGTCCCGTTGGAAGTAAAATTCGCCATCTCCGTTAAAGTGCTCCGAAACAGAAGGTGAAACAGATTTCTCTAAGTAATTAGTATCGGTTAGAAAAGGATAGTCCAATTTTTCTTGAGATAAACCTAAATTTTGTGAAATTTACATAGTGTTCTCCCATAACATGTAAGTTCGCGGTTGCCCAGTGGGTGCAGTTTTTTTTAGGTGCAGTTAATTGTACTACTTGATTTAAATGTAGCTCGAACGTTCCGAACAATTTTTTCCTATGGCTATGCGTTTCTTTCGCATTTTTCCAAACATCATTCAATATTATGTCCTGCATCATCTTCATCGATAGCCTGTTCCGTCATCGGAGTGTGGATTTTTCATCTATAACGTGTCCACGTTAACACTAGATTGCCGCAGACCTTCGGTATCTTATCTTTTGTCCGATCAAATTTAAATCGCTTCGTTTACTCTGCCTGAAATACCCTGCACTTGCCCCTCTGCTACATTTTTATACCTCTAACAGAATCTTAAAATATATTTTCTTTGTTCAGAAATTAATCATGCCCCAAGCAATATTTCCAATTGATTACCGCGCGAGAAAAGAACAGTCAGAAAATTATGATTAGTGAAACATGTTATATGTTTTTCATAGACATTTCATAGTTAAGGAGCGTAGTTCCGCAGACTACATCAGAGATGCGCATCCTGAGTGTCGAAGTCTTGGAAGTCTATTTTTAGTTAAATAGCACAATGATGAGGTCTCTTTGCTTCTTTAAGAGCCATCTCATTTAACGAAGGCTAATGCATTTTAGATTTCACTAGTTTAACTTTGGGGAAGGCTGTCTGCTCTGAAATCATAGGAAAGAGAGGGTTTAATCACACAACGAAACTTGTATAGTAATGATATAATAACAATGGGAACATCGGTTGGCTTATCGACTGCCAACCTGTGTTCTTGTTATTATATATATTTCATTGATACATAGCAGTATAAATAACTGAAATTATTGAAACAATTTTACAGGCATCGCGATTCAGACCTTATCAACTATTTATAAAAATTTGCATAAACCTATTCCTTCTATAAGAAATCTTATAAAAACAGTATCAAACAACGAGATTAATTCGGTATTTTATTTTTGTCAAATCGCATTTTAAACGGGTCCGCTATGTGGCCATGATCCATTAATTTTAAATGTACGATGGCATGCTTAATTAATTGAACAGAATTGAATATTTCTTTATACAGATGCGTAGGTTTGGTCGCTTTTAGGTCGTTATAGATAGATTTAAATTTGAAGATCTCTTCCGAGGCGTGCTTTCGCCCAATTCAAGTTCAGTCGTAGTTGCCTAATAAATAACTAGGCTACTATATTTCACATTTTTTTCGGTTAAGACTTTCGTAAATCTGGATAATAAGGCCATGTTTCAGTTGGCCAGCGAAAGAGGTATAGAAAACGAAAAAATAGAGGGCCAGTGTTAGATTTCCTTCAACAGCGTTAACTGAACGTAGAGCCTGATTTTTAGAAAACATTGTAATAGTTTTTGCTATGAGAAATCTTCGACCGTATCAACAGGCGATGTGTGGGAGAAAATGGAAAAACACATATAGTGATTTTCTTTATAAGGTTTAAAGTAGCTGACAAGCGGTTCCGCTAAAATTGGATCAGCGTCAAAATCGCATCAAAAAACCACAATCAAAAAGTAACACTTGGTGGGTCTTGTACAATGATCAAACTTCACCCACACAACTTTTGTTTCCAGCCTGCATGTGTGTGCGATCTGTTTTTCTGTCAATTGTTCTATGTTCTCAGCTAAAGGCTGCTATCAAAAACAAGGTGTAGACCCATTTTAAGGTACCCATCAAATTTTTTTTTGATGAATGGAAGAAAAGTATATGCGCAGCGATAAAATCTACGAAAGACTGACTCATATTTGTGTAGTCCTTCTTTACTCGCAGAAACCTCAGTATATACTTCCGTCATTAGGCAGCGCATGTTTGTCAACTTCCCACATTTAGGTAAACATAGAAAACATTTTCCACTTAGGACCCGTTCGATCAGTTTCGTCTGTTATACAGTGTTTCGTTCTACATCCGATCGTTGTAGAACGATGTCTATTTGGTTCAGTCCATGCCAATGCAAGGACCAGCGTGTACGTCGTGGCGCGCTTCAGCCATCGTGGAGAGGGACCGGTAATGGAAAGGGCGGCTGTCGTTGGAAGAGTAACCGGTGTAGCCACATGTTGCGTGAGAGCGCCCCCTGGACGCCGGCTAAGTCTTCTCAGAGGTAAGAGTTCGCTGGCCGCAGCGCGGATGGAAAGCTAGAGCCGCTTACGAACTGCCCCTAGATGCGCCCGTAGTTACACATGTACGGAAGGCCGAACAATAGAATTTTCTAACAGCTAGTGTACAAACATCCACAGTCCTAGTACGGAACATACAGTCGCACCATCGTTTTACCGTCTCTGCGTTTCGTTTTACGCTTATTGTGATTAGGTAACGGTCCACTGGATGGCAGCAGCAGTGCGCTTAAAATATAATGTGGTGATAGTTTAAGTTCCACTTACAAGGAATCAGTACATACAGGAGATGCCGCTGGGTTTCGTACGACTGAAATGATTCAGATAGTTTCATACGGTTCAATACACAAGTGTTGCCAATGAACCATGCGCATTCGTACCTCTTATAGGAGAAGTGTGTGTCGTGACCCATTCCCGCTATCGCCCAGTTCAAGTCAAATTTGCCGCAGGTGTTGCGTCGGAGCGTAACTATCATGCAATAGTTAGCCATAGCAAAACAGGAGCCAAATCGAAAATAAACTATTGGCTATACAGTAGAAGTTATTACTAGCACACGTCACCTGCGTCGAAGTTTAGCATAGCGCTTTCTAATGTAAAGCATGATCGAGCTGACGTTTACGCTACGATAAGCGTGTCGTACAATAGTGTATCCACTGTCACGCTTACGATGGCCGGCACCACTGCAGCAGGAGGATGAATAGAACAAATAGGACCAAGTCTAAACCAACCGACCAATTGATAAACGAGAAGTGAATAGGATCAGCGAACGACAACGGCGTGTCCGCTATATTTGAGTCCACTTGATCATCTAGAACATAATGACGACACGGGCTTTTGTGTGGTTACATGTGAGATGCTGGTGTTTCTGTTATGTCGTACTGGTTGCCATTATCGCGCTGTGTATCGCTCTAATCAACGCCATTGGAATACAACCGGAGATTTCCATCGCCCGTAGTTCGGCCTATGCTAACATGCTGCATACCGCACACGTGATAGGACAAGTCCAATACACAGAATTAGCATCGTCAAACAAAGAGTGACTTTTACCATTGTTGGCAGTCGAATATCGTTTCCCAAGTAAGTGTAGTAAGCTTCTTCAGTTGATTGTAGAGAGTGTGTATATCCAACTACTATTAACAGGATATGTCAGCCACTCAAACGATAACGCCGGTCGCTACCCAGAAGCGTGCCATTAAAGGCCACAATATCTCGGAACAACGAACATCGAAGTCTACGGAAAGAGTCAGATCATAGTCAACATTAGTACGATTATCAAGGGCAGCAGCAGTAGCATCAAAACATGAGCGTTTGCTACAATATAATTGACCACTTCAGATCTGCAAGAAACAATCGCTGAAGCGCTAACGGCTACAACAGCGATCTGGGTTTGGAGAAAAGCGCCGGCATAGAATTTGTTTGTAATGTCTATCTGTCCTACGACTCGTTGCCACTTCTCTGAAGACCAGTCTAATCGTTGTTATTGTCGCTGGCGTTGTCGTCATCAACAACCGAAGTGGCGACCAAAGCACGTTCAGATACACTTGTGTCCATTATAGCTAACACTGTATCTATATGGTGCATGGATCTTAACGACCTTCAGCACTCTTTGCACCAGCATGGTGCGATTCATACGTGTATATGCTAGTAGGCCCACTTTTGTTGGCGCGCTCATTACACGTGCCTGTAGTTTGAACCGTGCCCAATTAGTAACCCATCGTTCAGTACTGCGATTATCACGAGCAACTTCAGCATCATCATTGTTGTCTCTTTTGGCTGTTGTTACCTTCGTCACCAGCGACAACACAGAGAAGCCGCCGTTACTGGGCCGGTTTTTTCATCGGCTGATATCGGAAACAGGACTTTAATTCGAGTTACATAGGCCGCAGTTCTGAAATATCTCGTACATTTGTCTGCTACGGACAGATGGCAACGCCGAGACACTGCCATCACCGTTGACACAGCTCTTTAGCTTTCGATATCATCGGCCATCACCAGCGTCATGGTCGTCGTAGTGCAACTGCCATACCGGTGCGTCCGGCGTCAATAGTGGCATTAATATTCCCGCAGCTGTACCATTATTACTAGTGGTACCGAGGCCCTACACGCGTTGAAGTTACCTGGCGCAGATTGCGATCACATTTAGATTTAGGCAAGTGAGTGCCACCTGCAGTACAGCTGCCACGCGCCTCACTGCTGTTACTGCTACTATTTTCACAAGAAGACATGTCAAAAAGGACAGATAGAGAAATACCGATGATTGGGATTTGTATCATTGCCACGGAGCGTTCAGACAAATACACACACGTACATACCAGCTGCATACGGATGATTTTAACTATATCGGTAGCCATGGAAGTATTGTCGACAAGAGTCGTTCCGCTGGCAAAAACCAAAAGAAGCATATATAGTTGAGTATCGTTGGTTACCACTACAATATACAAAATTATACCCAACACGTATCACAGTAGTCACTTGAATCGACCGCTAGCCCCGCCGCGACTACCTTTTCTGTGCGCATCTGCATATGCCTATCTTTATATTCCATGTGCTCTGCGCACGATCAGGCAAGGGGCCGTAGCTTGGAGATGCAGACAAGGGGTGAAATTGCTTTCTAAAACTGAACTAATCGAAGACATTTTCTGCATGATCTAGAAAAATAGGATGAAATCATCAGAAGCACCATAGACGCAACGGTAAATGGAGTAGGAAACGACAGGACTTCGACCGAGTAAAATTGCGTGCTACATAACAACTCTCTCAGATCGAGCTCCTGTAGCATCACGTCAAAATACAATGTCTTTACGATTACCTTTATAGATAGCAGCAGCGCCGACCTTGCGTTATGTTGCAACTCAATACAGTCGCCCAAAAGCGTGAACAAAATCGGTGGTTAATTGTGTAATCAAATACCGGAAAGTTGCTAAGAACCACCTACTTCCAGTGGAAAGGACATTGGAAGAATGGACCAGGGTGTGAAAACTAGAACAAGAGAAAGCCTACGGAAAAGCATTCCCGTCCTTGAACGATGCCAAAAGCTTCGCTTTGTGCCTATTTATGTCCTGAAGCAAGTACATTGTGTTTTTAGGTGTGTGAATTTCCAGCGATAATATTGTGACACTGGAAAAAAAACGTAACGAAGTGAAACTTATGAACAACTTTGTGACAAACATGGTTTCTGCTCTTCTGTAAGCACGTCAACAAAGACTTTTATTAGGAGAGAACCTGTCACGCTCCCTGTATGTTATGCGTGTAACATCGAAGTTTTAACTAGTTCCGTGACCCATACTCTAATTAAGGAATCTAAACAATCATCGAAACAAGAAAACGTCTCTACTATGGACACAGTCAACTGTACTCGTAAGTACCTTCTTTTGCTTAATTAAAGCTGTTTTCTTTATTCTCGTCTATCTTCGGATAGTAGAAGGCGCCTTGCAATGGCTAAATCTCATCGAAGCCTGTGAGCTGGTATGTCTGTAATGTTTGACATAGTACAATGACTATATTTGTGTAACGCTTGGACCCTTAGTATGGCTTGGTTAGTCAGGATTCTGGGGCTTTTTTTTGCGGAATTGCTACATCCGTCGGTAGACGTATTTGAATAGTCCGCGTGCAAATAGCAGCCAGTGTGCATTGTGGATGCACTAAGACGAAGTAACTTTTTTTTTTTTTATAGATTCCCTTCGACAATTTGCACACGTCATGATACGGAATAAAACTCTATACATGGCGATTTCTGGTAGTAATTTCTATAAAATCAACGTACGCCCCCTTCTGCGTAAGTTATATTCACGTCCACGGTACGCTGCGAACGCTCTTATGTGTAATACAACGAACGCATAGATAGATAGATAGAAAACAAATCATTTATCTGCTTTTATGAATACTCGTTGATTAACTTCCAAGCGATTCAATACTTGGAAATACTTAATAAGCCGGAATAGAATTGCGATTGTTTCTTTATGTTCTATAATGAATTTCAAACTTTCCGTAGAGCGAATTAGGCTTCCACTCGTACACGCGCAAAGCCCATTTTCTAATGTAATGTTGTACCTAGACCTTTAAAGGTAAACCCGTAGGTACGTCCGTAGTGACCTCATCTTAGTCTTAGAAAACACTTCAATATTAGAACAAATATAAAAACGATTTTCTTGTAAATATCGTATTTTACATGCATACCTAGATAGAGTAAGAAATAAATATTTAGTCTCGGAGTTTTATCAGGACTAAGCCTTAAAAGCCCTTTCTGAAGCCTAGATGCCATAGGCTTCGTTACGAGTATTCCTGTCAGAGTATACATGGATGCGATAGAAACAATTCGATTGTGTAACAGCATCATAGGGCATAATGAAAACGTATTTATTAAATACAAATGAACAGAGTCGTAAAAAATCTTTGCATTTCAGATATAATCCCCGCGTAGCAGATCTAGTAATCTCAAACTTAGTCAGATTGCGGGACTGGATCTGAACGAAAATGCGGTAGTTTACCTCGTGCGATCGTACTACCTTGGATCACTGACGGCTGTCCTTTGCCTCTGATTCCTTTTTGACTTCGCCGCTATTGTCGGTATTATTATTGCCACTGTGGAAGCTTTCCACAAAATAACACTGACTTTTCCAAACGATCATGCGCGAGTACTTACCTTTGTTCTATTCCTCTCTTTTTCCTATTTTTCATCATTCGTAATGTGCTGATACGAAGGAATTTTCCCGGCGTGTATTTCCTTGCATGCCCCTCAAGCTTATTGAAGTCGTTCCTGCAACTTCAAACGACTATTGCAGCTATTCCTGGTTCCTCTAGAACATGAAAACTCCACAAAATCAGAACATAATTCAGCTGTCAAAGATGGAAAAGAAATAACTGTTCCAAAAAAAAAACAAAAATGTTGCCCATCAAGGCTCGAGTGACAAAGCAGTTTGGAAGAAGACAAATGTACCCGCTTCTCACAAAGCGTCGTTTACAAGTGTTACCGATGAAAATGTAAGTATAACACGAAATCCAGACAGAAATTTTAAAAAATTTCTTTCAATATTTGCAGTGTTATTACTTCCGCGGCATCTATTCAGTGGACATGCACTTCAGCGAAACCACATTCGAGGTTCCCTATGTGCTCATGCAAAATATTTCTCAACCAAAAAGCTGACTTTTTAACCCTAACTAATCAGAAATATGTCTAATCTGAGGTCTACCAAAGCGACAAGTCGTATATGTTGATCTAGTAATCTAGTCTTTCACGAAAATAGAATTTAGGCAAAAAGATATTGATATAATGCGCGTATGCAAGCGTGCGTACACTAAATATAGTTACTGACAAAGTCTTTTTTCGGTCCATCAATAACTTACCTCATAAAAAATTGATCGGACGACAATTATCCATAAAAGAATAAAGGATCGCACATAATTAGGGTTCCCTTTTGCTTGTAAATATTTCTTGCTCTCAAAAGAAGTGCTTACGTCGCAAAACATTCACCCGGACGACTCAAATACCGAAAGGTATCTTATTCACTAGCTACAAACGAATGCTGGACTTGATCTGCTTTAGCATCTATCTACAGCGCTGCATGGTCTGTTTCAGTGTTTAACTAATGAGTGATCCATCGAGACCTAGATACAGCTGAGGCTAAATTAGCTATAAAACAACTATAACAACAATGTCCTAAATAAATTATACTGAAAATTCGTTTACAACTGGTGAGACGTTTACCACAACAACAATCGTCTATGCGCTAGTCAGCAACAGCAAAACATAACGCGAAAATGTTGGGATTTCGAAGAAATTGTTATTTTTTCTACGTCTGGCTTGTACCCCGGGGGTACACAACATGCGGCAGATGTCGTGCTCCGCTACCGCGCGTGCGAGAGGACATGCCGCCGGACATTGGAAGAATAGTCTCAATTGGATTTCGGGAGATGCGGCGAATCTCGACAATGTCGAGCCATAATGCCGAGAGTGTCAATGAACGGGAACAAGTCGACTCGAATAAAGCTCAGAGAAGACGACGACAAGCGTCAAACAGCTGCTGTAGGCAGTCACTTATAGCCGAGAAAAGGGTAAATAATAGAGTGTTTGTAAAACTGAAAGCTGGAGAGACGCCTGGTTACGCCAACGGAGCTACTCATTAATGCGCGAAGACGGTATTGTCAGATAAAAACAAATTTGTGCTTTGGATGTTTTCCTTGTAGAACAGAACTATTTCAAAACCCACGCTGGTTTGGCGATCGTTACTATAACTAGAACGCCTATGTGTTTATGAATTTAACGCCCATTGCTCATGGCATAGTCTTATAGTAAGAGTACTATTACGATATGTTGAAATTAAGAGAAAAACTACGAACGTTTTACAGATAAATAAAAGCTTGTAAAAAAGATACGTTTTGTACTTAACCTATAGCATTTATTTTATTATTTTTATTTTAATTTATGAATTTTTAATATTCTAATACATCTTTGTGGGTCCTTTATCTACACTGCGGTTCATGTTGGACATACGAAACAGTGCAACAAAAAATAAGTACTGACTTACTAATGAAACTTCAGCTACCTCCATAATAGCATGAAATATGTGAAATGTGCTGCACTGTCAAAGACTGGATTATCGAACAGGAGACCTTTCTACAATATACTTTCTGTATGATTTATCTCAGATATCAAGTTAAGGCTAATATCAACTTAAGTAGAAGCCCCTACCTTTAACGGCAGTAATATGTATGCTATAATATTTCGCTCGTTGCAATGTACGGCGTTTGCTCCTAAAGGACTTTTACTTTGTGTACGGATGGCCGTTTTGAGGCAACATAAATATCAATAAAAGCACTATAGAGTTATTTGAAGGAAGGAAGGAAGGAACCACTGTCAGCTCCTTCACCGATAGAGGCCGGAGGCTGCAATTAGAATCTAGTTTCCACACGTACAAACGGCCAGATAGTTGGACCGCTTCTGTTTCTCGCCCAGAAGTCGCGTTCGTTTAAATGGAGCACCGTAAAGAACAAGCCATATGACGGCAAAGCTACCCACGGGAAATCAAACTTAAAATAGGGGATCAACGGAATAGCCAGAGCGAAAATGTAAGGTTCAAGAGGGATATGCCGACTTGCTTTGAGTCGAACGGTCAGTTATTTCCAGTCTAGAGATAAAGGAAAGGCGTCAATAGTTGTAGCTGACACTACGAAGTACCTCTAATTTTCCTACAGATATTAATCGAATTGGGCTGAGTGTGACTTTTGTTTATACAAACATCTAATGTAAAGCTTGTGCGCTAGCGTACAACGGTTTCACATTTTTTTCAAATACGTTACTTTTTTTTTTACAAACGATGCATAAATAGAGAAGGATGTCACGAGTGTTTAAATATGCTTATGTTTTGGTTCTTGTGGAAGGAAAGCCTGTTATTAAGAATTACATTCGATCAAATGCTTTTTTTCAAGATTGGCTACAGCGGTCCCTTCAGCAGTTCAAAATCGACAGGTTGTATCACCGAATCTGACCCTTTTGTCGAAACAAGTTTATTCACAGTAGATTTATCAAGCGAAAGCGTAATGCAACTTCAACACTTATCTGGATAACATGAGGGTACGGTTCATTCAGTGTTAATTCCAGTATGTATACACTAAAAAAGAACATAAATTTTTCCCGAACCTGCTTTAGGTTCAAGATGTACTATAGGTTCATACAGGTTATAACCATTGAACTTCCGTATGGCACAAGTATTGAAAATAAGCTTACCATTTATAATAAGCAGTTATTTGCACACAATATGGGGTCTTCCTTGTGTTTCCATATGTACGTCCAGTGTCGCGTTGGGCATTCCATCAGATGGCTGGCTCGCAGCAACAAACGCAGTGTGTCTATGCCCGGGTTCGAACCTAGGCCGTATGGCATCCCTGAGATTAGCAAGCAAATACTTTACCCACTGTTCTCTCCTGTACCTAGCATGTCCGTTAGGCGCTCGTTCGTGTCCCAATAAATCAACCATATATGACTGGGCGCGTGCCAATATGCTTAGTGCGGATCATTTTGAATGTAGGGGCCGTCAGATGCGAGGCGGGCAGGCAGAAAAGTTGCTTCCCTGGAACTCACACTATGGCGGTAAATTTTGTTAAACATGTCAACAAGATACTCACTCTAAATACAGGTAATTTACCGGTGGGAGTCAGACCAATAGGTATTTCTATGTAAAAACTAGTAATATCATATATACTATGGCTTTATTCAGCAATATGACAGCTTGGTTTCGTCAACTCAACATGCTCTAGCAAAATAGCCTTCGGGCAGTGAAGTGGTTAATATCGCAATGCGTTTTCGTTCAGGTTCTTCAATCGACATTGAAGAGCGATGTAAAATGGCCAAATAGCAATCATCAATGTCAGAGCGCTTCGAGACGTTTCGACGTGCCGTACGGCGATTAATTGTAAAGCTGAACGACAGAATAGTATGAGTTCTTTTTGGCTGGACAATCTGACATAGCTTGTTGTGGTATCGTACTTTAGTTACCGGTGATACAAGTGTCACTATCGTATGAGGCATAGCATTATGGAAAGGCAATTGCGCATTTCCTGTCCTCTACGGGCTTAAAAACTAAATTGGAGTGAAATGAACGACCTACACGCTGTTTCGGATTTTGCTAGACAAGTATAGCTGTTCTATGCGCACCAACGTCCCTCTGCTGGACTGTTGTAGCAATACGGAGGCATACGTTATTGTTATCGTCCTTTTGATTTCTGTAGGAGGGGAAAAAACCAAGAGAGTGAGATATGAGGCCTCTTTTTTTGCGGTTCCTTTCACAATGACAGCGTTCGTACGTCCGCCGAATACTGTAGGACCACTCAAAGCACTACCAAACGCTAGCGGCCTGTACCTGCCTCCGTGGGTAGAAGCTGTACAAAAAGCTAGAGCTGATCGTACGGTGTTCGAAGAAAAATATTAGCTGAATATTTAGACAAGCTTTGTTGCCTGTTTTCGATTAAGGCCAACTGCGGCTTAGATCAGCATGAAGGAGCTGGGTATGCTAGAAGTGGTCTTTAAGCTGGTCGCCTGGTAGACGATAGGGTTTAACCTTTTGAAATTGCTAGCTATTAGAAAAATTAGTGGAACAATGTTAAGAGAAAAACATGAAAAAAAAAAAAAAATTGTAACACTTTGGCCGTAATTGACATCATCACTCGACTTGACCTTAGAAAATTTTCAAGAGTTCACATGAATCGTTTAGCCAGAGCTATGACAGTGTGCTTAAGGATAATGCGCATATGAGACCATGTGGATATAATGTAATGATGTAACAAACCAATATTTTCCACCCTTCATCGGACAACGTCTAGGGAAAAAGGGATGACAGAGGCACACTGTGTGACCTTTACCTGCCGCATTGACTGGGCGAACTTATTAGGTGCGCTGATAAATCTGTATCCGATAGAGCCAGTCCTAGACGCATCGTTGCCAGCCTGTTATAACAGTATGAATATGTAAAATATACCTAGTGCTCAAAACGTATTTTCGAAAAAATGTATAAATACAGCGTAGTGACCCATAGTTTAGACTAATGTTGCTTTTCAAAACGTAGCAAATATTGCTCAAGGTTCGTGACATGTGTGTATATATATGTAAGATAAACGGTCTTTTCTTGCCCTTTAAGGGGTGGCTTTGTGAGACTCGTTTTGTGTATTTCTGTCTTAGATAGCTGTCTGTATAGCTGTCTGAGATAAATAGCGGTCGATGAAGAAGCTAGCACATGACAGGAAGGAATGGCTTACCAAAAGTTATTTTCAAAAACTACTTAGCATATTTAGCGAAGAAAGTAAACGCAGTACGTATTCAAACGGTCAAAGTGGCCTCTATAACTAGCGGTTATCTATACTCACAACCTCGTCGTGTGTAGAAAGCCCAGTCAGCGTAGGTTCATCTAAACGATACAAATGATTAAGATTGTATCTATTATGATAAATCTTCAAGCGTGACGTTGTCGTATGTACCTCACAGTGTTTACGTAACGTGCCTATCGACTTGGCTTTAAATGCTTTCAGTTTTACGGCCGACGCCGGCTTTAGACATTCTTTCAATTGGCTGATTCGCACTATGAAACGAAGTGTATTTACGTCTGAACTCAAACCTACATCAACAATTGTCCTTAAGGTCAACAGGCTAACATGTTACCAACTACTACAAGGATAACTGGTCCGAGTCAAACCGCACTAACGTACTCCATGATTCTGCAACGGTGTCGCTTGTTATTTTTGCAAAATTAAAAAACGTGCTTGAATTTGTTAAGGGTTATCCCTATACAATAAATCATTTGTTTCGTACTGTCCGCGCAGTCTGGTGAATACACCTATGCACAATACCATAAAATTAATATCTGAATTTGCTCCCAGGGAACAGCAGGCTTGAACAAGGCTTATTGCAAAAGGGAAAGAAACACGTGCGCCTCATGCGCCGAGCAGAAACATCGAAAAGAAAGCTATTAGATAAAGTTGGCCTGAATCGATTGGTTTTCATTTCGAAATAAGTTAGAATCAACTTAAAGCTGCAGATCCCGTTGTGTTCTTAACGTTCTTGGGACAATTTTGGTGACTGTCGGTTTGCCGCGGAAAAGTCACAACAGTTACGTTACAACCTCTCTCTACTTTGAAAAGGCCTTTAATTCAAAGCCATTGATCCACCATCCATAATTTGTTCGTAAGAATGTGTTATCATTATAACTATTAAAAAACATTCATCGCATTTATATGTATGTTAATGTAGTATATTTCTTTATCCATATTTCCTATAGTCCAAGAGACAAACCAGCGATTGACAACCCTTCGATTACGTAGTACGCTCGAAAAGAAGGCACCATATTTTAATTTTTTATACTGCGACTTACGTACTTAAGAAATATGACAAATACATGGATATTATGGGACTGTTACTTACGCATGAGACAGGAAAAAGAAAAAAGTTGACTAATCTTTGGATAAGGTATAAATGAACAATTTGAAAGGAAAACCTCACAATTAGGAAAGGGATAGACGTTCGACGTCTGCTTCAACTGGAAGCCCGCTTGTTCCACTTGTAACCGCTAGGCCTTACTAAGCAGTATGGTCGCATCTTATCTCTTTGTAATTGTAGTTCAGACAGCAGAAAAGCGGCAACTTCTAGTGTCAATAATGTACTTACATCGTAAAAATTTGCAAAGAATATAGGTCGGTTAATTTTGCCGGCCGCCTGAACTCGAATTTGGCTTGCTGAGCCATATTCAACGAGGGTCGTATCTATGATAGATCGTTTGCCCCGTCGATCATACTAGTTCTATATTGATTTAACCGTTCGCTGTTCTGTACTTTAAAAAGCTGCGGCAAACACGATTCGTGATTATCTAGATACTTGGAAACGTGCAGTACCCTTACTCGACAACAACGGTTACCGCACGTTCATGAGAGGCAAATGTTTAAAAATCTATAGTGTTTTATCAGTAAACCGCGATTTATTGCTTTATTACAGCAAATACTCTTGACGATGCCTTTAATACGTTCTCTTCACCTACACACAAAATGAGCGTATTGATATGATTAGTTCGCAGGTTCTTCGCAGTTCAGGAACTACCACGCTTATCAGGGAATAAACACACGCACACACAAGTTTTATAGTCCGGCAATGGACATATTCATGTTGGAAATACTAAATACACGCGCGTGCGTACTGTATTGTTAAGTGTATGCACGTTTTGCGAAGAAACAAGTTTCAAACGTACTTAGCCGATGTACTGAAAGAGAGCTCAGGGCCGAAATTCGTATATCAAGTTCTTTATATAAACTTAAAATTTGACATAGAGGCGGATTAGGGTAGCGTCCATCGTCATTTAACGACACGTGTTGAACGAAGATCGCGATGTGACATGTTTTTATCTAGGTGATAAAAAATATACAGCATACAATAAACATTCAAGCTTCTATTTCAAGCCCATTTCGAAAGATGCAACAGAAATTCTAACGGAAAAGAACATCTAAGTATCAGATAAAGTTGTAGCGAAGTTTCAACAAAAAAAATTATTATCGGCTTCTGCGATCGGCTTCGGATCTGCGATATCAGTTTACACGAGCGCAGAAAAGATGCGTTCATTTTTATAGGCGATATCGAATAAAGCAGCGATATATATATATATGTGGGTCAGAGGAAACGGAAACTGCGGAAAAAAACCCTGAAAACACATGTCTGAAACTGAAGGAAGCAAATGAAAATCTCGTGGTAATGAGTACGATTTAAAGGGAACATCGTTGTGTTACGCATATATACATCATAAAATATAGCCTTTTTTATTAACACGGTTTCGCACTGTGATATGTATACACATACGTATTGAGAAACCCCGATAGATCGACTTTTGGCTTGTGTAAATGCTTCTATGCGATAACTACGATTGTGCTGGGATATGTACACCACGGATACAATGTACAACACGAATTTATTACGCTGTGTGTGGGCGTTGGTAGAGCGGACGCCCAAAGTAACGCTATTCTCGCTCGGTAGCTCTAACCTTTCAATCATGATGTTTTCTCTGCTTAACTCTGCCGTCCAGTTACCAAGTAAGTGGTCGCGCTCTGCTTCCTTCGAGGGGTAGCTGCTGGCACGAACGAATGTATTTGATCGCCATAGACACGTAGGCCAATGCTAATCGGAGACATGATCAAAACTACTCGGCCAGAAATGCATCTCTCTAGCCAACGCTGAATCGTTTGATTTGTCGTCCCTCTAGTGATCTTGCCGAGCCCGCGAGTAATTCCCTTTGCCACGATCCTATGGTCCGTGCGACACATAGCCTGAAGAATCTCATGCAAGTGTCAGAATGCCAAATGACATGGTAAGTTTGAGGCAAACGTGCCGGATACATTTTTTACGATATGCTTTTTAGACCGAAAAAAAACTTTAGGTCGAACATGCTACACAAATGGAAACACGCATTAAGGATATTCTAATTAAGTCAGCGGACCGCGCAATATTTTGAGTCACTGCTACCGCTGTTCAGTTAATCTCTCTAGGTTTGGCTAAGACAGAAAGCTAAAGCTTTCGATCTGTTTACCTAAATCGTGCTCCACCTTATATATGTATTGCTTGAAGTTAAAACGGCCTCTGAAGCTAAAAAATGTTTAACGCAATGAAGCTAGAGTATGCCACATAATGGCTGCGGCTCACTGTCCTATTATCTTGTACTTGTGTTACGCAGCTAGATAACTGGAAGATCTTACGGTTGCACAAAATTTGTTACGCAGTACTCAAGCTGGGTGCTATCCTTATCCACGGTGCAACCATTTAATGACCGTAACTTGAAATCCGATTTGCCTCTGGTCTTTTTAAGTAATGTATTGTGTGCCTAACACCTAATACTCAGCTGATTTGTGTTAAGGACCCGTTACAGGGCATAAGGCCAGCTTGATATCCTCAAACGCTATTAGTATTATTGCGTTTTCGTTTTCGCTCTTCGTCAACACCACCGACATCTGGTTTGTTCTTTTTTTTCGACGAAAGGAGAGGTTTACTAACTAGGCTACAGGTCGCAGGCTCAGACGACTAAGGCAGTGAATATTCGACCATTAACAACGTCAGTGCGTGTGGCCTGTGGAGGTTGCTTTCTATTAGAACAGAGAGCAAGTTTGAGGCTGGACTAGAACGCGGTGGATTTCAGCAAATCCTAGATGAAGGTTGAAGTAACTTTCATCTAGAAATCGCTAAAAAGGATAGGGATGCGTCAATGAGACGGGCCGTCGGATCCGCTGAAGTTAGTGGTTTTCAAGCCCAATTTGCGATGGCCATTCTAGCTGTAGTCTGTTTTATTTTCAGAAACGCACTGCGCGATCAGCCGGTAAGTATAAGCAATGCCGCTTTGGACACGTCATCCAAGCTGAGGGAAAACGTTATGCGTTCTGTATACACATCGAATTCGCTCGATGTGTATATACAACGCATTCGATTATATATATATATATTCGGGTTGGATGGATCCTCCAGACCGGTTCATCGCTGGCGGCACAAATCGTTAGAACAATGTAACGAGGTAAAAAAGGTCTACAAAGTATACAGCATATTTGAAGAACTATAGAGCTACATTTGTTGATCGGGCGAGGTCGTAAAGGGTACTTAACAATATGTTATATCGCTCTGTTGGGCTCTGGACCTCATACTCAGTCTGTTACCACCGACCGGCCATGATGAAAATCATTACTTTAAGGCCCGGACAACCTGAAAATTCTTTATATAACGATAATATAACATTAACGTTGTTGTTATTATTATTATTATCGTAGACTAAGCTTTGATGTCAAAAAGATTTTTCCCGTCATTGTCTCGAGACGTACTTCTAAGGAACAACTAAATTAAACAATTGATTTGTCATTTTTCTCTATTATTTACTGTTGGTGAAATGGTTCAAGTGTTGTTTGAGGGAAAATGTACTGACCTGTGTAACACTCAAAACGATTTTTAGCCAAACCTAAGGCCGTCAAGTGGACAACAGTTATTTCTAATCTATCTCTTGAGAACAAATTGAATTTTAGTAGTTCTTGGTGTGATTCAAGCGAAAGCAAGACACGTATTGAAACTGTCGTGTGTCTCGTACAAGTTAAGTTGATCGTTTGTCATAGCGAGACATATTTTTTCACCTTAGACGTATTTCTATGGTAGATTCTTTAGATATTTACCAATAAAGCTAAGAGGAAGCAACGACACGATGTTGATTATATTACGTTCTGGATATTTTATTTGTACTCTAATCAATAATAAAGATATTATTGCTTTTATTATTCAAGGACTATGCTACTAGCTTGTAGACTTGTGGTCTGAATTTCGCCAAGGGTTGTTCGCTATTGAGGTTGATCGCTCACTTTGATAGTAACAATCATCGTACAAGCAAACAGGGGCACTGAATGTTGATGCTAAGATCCACGAATAGTGATTTACCCATATAACAAGCCTTGTACGACTGAAAGACTCTTGATCTCGACTGATTTTTTTGAGCGTTATTTCAACAGACTATCAACTTTGCCTTCGCTTACTACTATGCAACGCGAAGACCATGTCTACTTGACATTTCAGTAAATAGACACCTATTCTATAATGTAACAAATATATTTAAAGGGGGCTGAACATGGAGTAATCACTGCAAGAGGGCTTAACTTACATACATACCTAACTGTATCAAGTTAGACTGTCTACAAACAAGTTAAGTCGCTTCAATCATGTTTAATACTAGGGAGTATATGATACAATTTAAACGTGAATTTTTTCAAAAATTTCAGCCTATTGTTAGGTCACATCATAAATTCAACGATCGATTAAGCTCTAGATTTTATTTAAAAATCACGTTTTCAGTATTATGAACGCTACTGAGCTGTCACGCGAAAAGCAAGTATCCGCAAAAGGGCCCTAGTTTTTTTTGCAAAGGAAACACTTTTCCATTAAACACTTACATATCGTCGGCCATATCGAAATAGATTTGGTTTCCGCCAAATCTATACCCGCCAACATATCATAGAATTATTCGTTTTAAGTTACTATAATTTTAGCATATAGTGTTGTATGTATATAAATAGAAGAAGTCCATTGACTTAATCTTAATAAGGCACCACTTATTAAAAGAGAGAAGTCCGTTATCTTTTTGTGGTTAACGACAAACAATTTACGGTTAGTTCGTTCTAGTTGTCCGCGATCCGAACTTGCTTGACAAGTTTCACTTGATAGCACAATTGCATTGTGTTTAGGTAAAAGGAGTGTTTGGACAAAGTTGTTTTAGCCAAATATATTTCGCCATTTTGGGACTTCTATGTGGTCAAAAGCGTGTGCTTTCGTCCATCTTTTAAATAAAAGATGAATATTGATTTTACACCCTATACGTTGCTCGCTTGACGATCAGAATTTCTCTCGCAAATGCATGGAAATGCCATCGCTCAACTTAGTATTGAACTGTGGAGTGGATCGAGAATGGCCTGCAAAGGACGCTGTGTAATACCTTGGCCGATTAAAGTGTGAGTCTCTGTTCAGGCATAAGTGTTTCTAAGAGACTAAAGAACAAGGTTTCATTTGTAGTGCCTTGTTATCGCTTATACCTATAATGTTTTTATTGATCTTTCTGCGGACCACTGAGAAGCTATTAAGGCCATTTGGTTTCACGCTCTGACAAACAAGACGCATGACGCGACCGCCTCCACGATCTGATGTGCTAATGAAACGTCTGAACCTTTCTGCAAGTACAGTTTGTATGCTCTTCTGGGCTGTTCCTGGCTCTACGACTCATTTAGCTGCTGTTTCTCCCATAGCGTTTTACTATACAACTAATAATATTGTATATTAATCAGCCTGAAGAAAAGTGTCGAACCAGACGGCGCGAAGCATAGCGGGTGGTAGCGCTTCCAAATACGATAACCAATTTCATCGATATTCAAAGCCATCCGTGTTTTGCTCTTCGTCCATCGTTACGAGTGATCGTGCCTATAAACGAACAAAGCACTGTTTGTTCGTTTATACGACTAGTTCAGATCCGGAAGAAACAATGAAAAAATAAATGTAATATTCTTATCGAATTACCATATGAGAATTATCAGCAATCGTAAATCTACCGCTGACCACGTTAAATAGAATCATTTTAATTTCGCAATTAAGTTTAACAAAACTTACTAATACTGTTATGCGCGACATTCTAACATAACGGCATAATAAGTTCTCACATTATTACATGACGAGCGTTGTTTCGCTTGTTATTTCCATACCAGGGAATTGCTGTTACGATTGTTGTTGTTGTTGTTATTATTAATATGGATTACTAGTGAGCTCATAGAATAACAAAATATCCGGATCGACATTGACTGCGTGTGATGAATTGGAGTAGCTAACGTACCATGTCCTTCTGCTACTGCGCCTTGCCTATTCCGGTGACTGCAGGTGCAGTCATGTATGATCACATTGCCAATATCGTGATCGTGCAGGCAGTCACGTTCCTAGCTCGTCTACGAAGGAGAAATACGCTTGACAGCGTCTGTGTACAATCAGGAATACCGTCTAGCTAACTAGTGACAGGGGACACAGCCATTTCGATAATTACCATTTAAACTTATCTTGCCCTATCTAATCTAATCTCTACCTGACTGTTACTCTATATTTCTCCGTGAATATTCTTGATGTGTTAGAAATCCAGCTGATGTTACAAAGCAATCGAAATCTGTAGAGGGTTTATTACCGTCAGTCACGAATACGCTGGCTGCAGAATGCAAGACAGAGATAATGCATAAGACCGGACTTAACAATTATATAAACATGAACTTTTTTTTAACTTGGATATTCAAAGTCCGCTATCAAAATACCTTCCGGAACATTTAACAAGTAGAAAAAGCCTGTAGTTTACGTATACGTGATCAGACTTTATGATCGAATTTTGCTTCCAAAAATATCCCTTCCTTTATGCTTAAGATACCTCTCTTTTTTGCACGAATAAAAGGATAAAACCAGCAATGCTTACATGAAATCTGAATTAAACAAGCTAGTTATTATTTATTTATTTTTTTCAACCAGTTGACAGAATGAGGCAACTGCCAAAGTTAGTGGTTCGTGCGTATTTGTTGTTATCGGCATGTTTTTCAGTGTACCTTCGTCAACAGTTCGGCCTTGTGCGAAGATGTGTACATGTATGCACATGTGTATATTTACCATTATTATTTATAGGGAATTGATTAGGATACTTGCGAATTTCACTTACAGATACATATCGTTTTAGCAGGATGTGTTTATCAAATCAGGCTATCTTTTTTTTACACGCTGTAGATAAGGATAACCTCTGTGAACTTAAAAGACTGGGGTTTTAGCATATGTTTCCCGCTGTGAGTTCTTTTTCCACCTGAATTTTGGAGCTATTAAGAAATGTGGGTATTTTTATTGCTTTTAGAGCTTGAAAGGCAAATAAGAGTTAGTAAATATGCCGTCAAATGGCCGTATTACAAGGTTTATCAATACGGCATTTGTGAAATTATACAGTAAGGTTTACCGAGCAATGCTGTAGTGCTTAGTTCGGATGAAAAATTAGGAAGGACAAGACCTTCAACCGGACTGTTTTCTGGAGTGGTATATTTCAGCTTCATTCACCTAAAACGAATATATTTAACCAAAAAGGAGACTAAAGAGCATCAAAGACTTAAGCATTATTTCGAAAGGTGTCATAACAAGCAAACCGTGCACGACGTGCTGAGAGGAATCATAATACTAGTTACTCCTCAATGTAGAAATCCTATAGGTGTAAGCTGAAAGACAGCATCTGTCACAAAATTTACCTTATGCTTACGGATATATATTCTTATTTGCTATATATCCTTGACAGGTACGTGTAAGCGCTGCAAGGTGTGTGCAAGGGCGTATATATATAGATTTCATTGTACATATCGACTAAATTAATATATTATCAAATTTTCGTATAATTTCCGAATGCGCTAGTTTTAGCTCACAAACCAGATTTTTTTCTTGTAGAAAAGATAACAATATTTAGCCCTTTCAGCAAACCTACTTGTTAAACTCTAAGTTAAAGTCACTAAAATTTAGATACTGTATGTAGATACTGAGGTCAGCAGTACAACAACGACATTTCGGGATGAAATGCTTCACTTCGGGATACATCTTGGAGAAGTTCTATTGATATTTTTAGTTTTTAGTTAGTAGTTAGATTTTACATGAGCGCGATAATACATCGATTTTAACATGGCGAAGCTCATATGTAGTTTCGCACAGAATTTTCGGTACGTAATTTAGCAGAATCTCGCCTGCCGAATGGCTCAAGTTCGCTTTGAGGCTAGTAAAGTGGAGATTTTGATAAGTTAAGGTCATAAAACAGAGCTATAGTAGAAATTATCTGTTTTTTCAGATGTGGTAGGTATGACAAAAGCGTTCGACATAGTCGCGGTATACTCGGGCGTAAAAACTATACACAGCCGATATACAGCCGGATACAGCCGAGCTTATGTAAAAGGCTTTCTAACATCGTCAGCAGAGAATTGGTAGAAGACGCCACCATCGGATATTATTATTGTTGTGAGGTCCAAGACGAAAACATGAAACAGTGACCGACCAACGCGAGGGCCTTGAGGTTTTCGAACCTGCAAGCAAGTTCGTGCCCCTCTAACCTGTCAAATTATATCTTCCAGAAGCGCGACTGTAATCGAGGTAAATGCAGTGAAAGTTTTTTTGACGATTTAAGTATGTTACTTAGTCACGAACTTTTGTTAGTAGATAAGCGCATACCGAACAACCTTTCCAACACCCTTTTGAATAATTTCTTACCGTTGCCAATAAAAATCTGTTCTCAAAATAAGATTAGCAATGCGACCTTATTCGGCGGGCCGATAATTTCTAGTTTCGATCCTATATGTTTTTTTGTACGTCGCCATTAGATGTTTATTAGCAGTATTTTGTGTATGTACGTAACATGTAATAATTCTTGTCAACCAGATAAAACTATCTTTTATATTTATATTTCTTCACCCCTGGGGCGCTTTAAAATGTACCCTGTCGACACCATTTAGGCTACCGGCGACACGTCCTATGTGAGGCGTTTTAAGGCTTAGTATAGCCGTCATATTAAATCTGTATAATTTCTTCTCAATATCTGTCTAAAAGACTTGTTTATTTGACCAATGCACATTTGCTTTACAAAATACGGCGACACCAATTTTAGGTGGAGGCAAAAGCCCAAGAATGGAGCTGTTATAACTTTATGGAGAAAGGGTTTACGCGACATCATAGATAAATCACGGAAATTGCAACATTAAATCAATCCAAATCACACAGAATAAACGTACATATAACAGTGATATGTGACAGGATTATTCAAATATATCACTCTATCCTCAAGGCTTCGTTTATATTTCTTGGCAGAGATCGCTACATAGGAGAATTTCACGTAAGTACACTATTTTTGGTCTCAGAGTGATGTGTCTCATTTGTAGGCCCTAAATACAACGCAAATAATTGTTGACATGCTTGATTCAATTGCACCATGTGAACCCTTTGGCAGAGTCTACATCTCTTGCATATACCGATTATTGAAAGCTCAACACGAGCTTGGAAAAAGCTTGCATAGAATGATTAACTTAAGATACATGGAAGAATTGACGAAGTTTGGAACCAACTTACGAGATAGTATTATATTAACAAGCCATTGGCATTGATAATACTGCATTGTAACATAAGCGTAATTGACATTCCCCTTGGCCTCATTATGTGGTTAAAAAGTATGCATAATATATAAGCATACCCTTCCTTGATTGACATCTACGAAAAGTAGGACGCTTTATCATAATACATTGTTTTCCACCATTTTTATTTTCCACGCACGCATTCTACTATTTGAAGATAGTGGATTTATTGTTTAGGTCAGTAGTCCCGGTTCATCTAAAGTATTCTGGTTTCCGGATAAGTTTTTTCTTCTACTTAGTGGTATAGCTAAAATTTTTGCCGATTTTTGCTTTGTTTATGCTACCATTGCTGCTACCTGCGGAGTGTCGTCAAAACAGGATTTGGAAGAAAATGAATTCTAAATATGAGACTTTTTTTTTCAGACTTCTTACGGCGTAAGGAAGTTGTTAGATCTTTCTATCATCTTTCTTTTGAGGGCCAACCGAAACGATGTGACTTTTTACAAGAACATGTAGTTACGGCCTGCTATAGCACATTTGTGTCACTAGCTGAACGTACTTTGGTTTGAGTAAATTTCCGTCTCACCGAAAATTGGCCTCAACCAACTTACAGAGCAGCGTAGTCGGTTACATAGGGTACGCATATAGTTATTTGTAGCTATCTTGTTGAAAGCTGTGTCGGTTTAATTCGTGTCCTTAGAAGCGCACACACGCTTAGCCGCGACTATCACGTAATGTTTTCGGCCTTCCAGAAGGCCACAACGAAGGTGTTTCGTTCCTGTATAACAGGGGCGTGCCAAAAATGCGTTTCTGCATGCATCTCTTTTATGTTTCTATTAGCAGTCTATTATTGCCTATTAATTGGAAATTCGAACGAAAAGATGGAATTCTTCTAAACTTAACGTTAATATTTTGCTAACAAATTAATTATTGCAACGCTGTCTATAAATTATCTTAAATTCTAGTATTAAATAAAATGAATAGTACGATCTATAAAAGCATTTTATACTTCAGTGTCGACTTTGTTGCCTGCCTCGAGTGGTTATTTTGTTCTTCAGGGTTCGAGCGAGCGGTCCTTTACAATACTATGTCTAGCATTAAAACTCCATAAACGTACACGTATATATACTGCTGACAAAGCGCAGATCAGCTGGTAAGCCAAATCGAAGATGACCGGAAATAAATGCATGATTTTTTTGCCATGCTGTCAATCCGTTAGTTAGGTCTAATTATTCGTCTGTGTTTCTTCTGTACAGTGTGTCGAAATCCACCTCAAAGGAAACTTGTTACTTAGCAAGATATTTCACAGCATTTCATCGGAAGTCTCGTTTCGTAGACGCTCGCTGTGTTGACATCATAGCCATTACGGCATTGGATCTTATCTTGATACTGCAATGCTCGTGGCCCATCGAGACCATTAAAAAGTGCTTTATCTCTTTTATAGTAAGCAAGATTTACCTCGACGAAAGTAGGTCCGTGCTGACATCTAGTAAGGTTGAAGATCAGAAGGTAGAACCAAGAATAACATTTTTCACACAAGCGAATTTACCAGAATCGACATTATATGTATTGTTTAAGATGCATCTTTTCTGCAAGTTTTCCTAAATGCTTGTCCAACAGAACTGATGCATCACGGACGACATCAGAAACTTTACCTAGAAAGTAGGTTACTACCCGCGGGGTTGTGTTTCTAATTTTTTTGCAGACAAAACACTGTTCCTTTGCAGTTTCGCCCCCTAACACCTCGAACCATTTGATCGGCGAGATGTCAGCTCATAAAATTCAGCGTTATTATACGTTTTACGCTTTTCCTGTACGAAGCGACGCAAGGTTCACTTTAAACAGCTATTGTATAGAGCTAAAAGCGGATAACAATTTCTCAAATACTTGTTTTGCCACCAGAGTACTTCGTTTAGCACGCATTTAAATTTAAAAAAAAAAAAAAAAAAGATCTTAAAAGATATATGTTATCAGATTATTATTGTAAAGACGTTCATTTTTGCATAGACCTTAACTCTGACGACCATCTTGCTTTCATATACGCAACATTTGGGAGACTGGTGATTACCTAACAAAAATTATGTGCTATTTTTATGTTTCTCGCCAGCTACATTCAATATATGGGAAATATAAAAGGTGTCTCTCCGGAGGTGTCTTCTGTAGCAAGTAATATGTCCTTTAAACGGATCTATTAAGCATATTGGTTAGCTTATCTTTTAAGACTAGAGTCTTCCAAATAGTTTTTAGTGTGAGTCAAAGCTATATTTTTCCTTTTATTACCTAAAAATTAAAGGAGATATTTTCGTTTCGATTGTTATCACACAACTAAGAAAACGCGTCTTGACGGCATCTCATCGACACATCTCGTGACACGAGAACCGTTCAATATAAGGAGGACGCGCCTGTTAAAAAAGCGTCCAGCGAAACTGCTCCTTGACCTCGGTCATCAACGTTGTCCTAGGAGACTTTTAATATCTGGGAATTTTCTTAAAAAAATCGACAGAACACACAATATTAGTATATTGCAGCGCAGAATAAAACGATACAATCGATGCAATGACATAAATGCATTAAATAAAGAAGGAACTTGTCCAAAGTTATTCTATCGCCAGAATTTAGACAAAAAGTTCATTTTTCTTCTTTAAATACATGTATATATATATATATATATATATATATATATATATATATATATAGATAATCACACTTCTTTAAAACTACAACACACGACCAACAGTTCAACTAAAGCAGATTAGTACTTTAGGAAGCAAGTTAATAGTCAGAAGTACTTCAGGAACTTTGTCAAGTTGCAACCCGAAATTTACGTACTAATACTATTGTTCGCATAAGCGACCACGATACGCAGTGGTCGTATATTCTATATTTGTGTAACGTAAAACTCATATAACGGTTCAAAGATGCGCAATGCTATTTACCAGAAAGATTTTTAGCTTTAGCAGGACATATTGAACCATAATCCTAGTCAACAAAACGCTGTTAGCTGGATCCAAGGGCAAAGAAACTTTAACATGATCCTTTCAATTCTGCCAAACCGGCCCATGGAAAAACTTCAAAAAAATAGCCAGGGTGGCATAGCACACTATCAGCGTCAAATAATAATCCTGTGCTTAAAACGAAATATGTCTAACGAAGCAGAGTGATCAGAACTACCATAAGCGTAAAACATATATGGTCGAAATTCGTTCAAATGAACATTCTTGATACTTGCACGCGTCCATCTACCCAACTGATATCACAGTCATATACCATATACCACTATCATGTAAACATATATATGTGTACATATATGAGCGTCCCCTTGCTGGGTGTGCAGCCGACTGGGTGCCATACGAAATGTACAAAAGCGAAGAAGATAAAAAGCATCACGCGCTATCCTTGCTGGCACAATTGCGCCTAACTCATATACCTATATACCGCAATTTTGATGAAACTGCGATGGCCTGCGATGACGAGCCACCACTTGTTCACAGTTTTCCTTTTAGAAACGTTTGCCTCGCTCTCTGCTATATACTAATCACCATATTAATTAAAAGGTTTCATGCGGGGTTTTTGCTCAGCCCTGATTTGACTGAATGCCATCAACAAGTGATGCTTATTTCGAAGCTACAAGACATCGCTTTAACTAACTGGGGCGAAGTAACATGGCGAAACTACCTCGAGAAGACCTTGGACATTTTATGAAAACTATTAATATATGAGAAACGTTTTTTGTTAGCACGATCACTGAGCATTGACTGTGTAATAAGACACACCGAACTGATGTTTACTCACTAGTACAAACACCAATAATAAATAACCAATAAGTTATCTAATTGCCAGGACGGACTGCGAGGGGAGAGAATTAGTATGTTTCGACTAATTAAAGAGTTCAAGAACCTGGCGATTTGTACGAAAATTGTCACGTTAGAACAAACTTCGTTGTTATACGTCACGGTACAAATAATCGTATTCATTTTTAGATTTAGAGATCAATAAGTTAAACGAGTCTGTTTGGTTTACTCTATATCGTTTCAACATATCTTAGTCTTGCAAACGTTTTCGACTATTCATGACAAGATACGCACACCTCCGGAAGCTCTTGTTCCGTCTGTATCAGCGATAACAAGAAGACAAAAAGGAGCCTTAAATCCAGTTTCCCGACGAGGTCCAACGTTTTCTGACGACGAACCTAACCTAACATAACGTAATCACTATGTTTCGCGTATAAAAATAATGCTATATTGATCGGATGCCAAAACGGCTACTACAGTTGCCGTCAATGGATCAAGTTCCTTTTTGAGTGACAATTTATCCTTATGAATTTATTTAGAGCGTAGTTATTTTCACTATGTCGACACCGACTTCAACGTGTAGGAGAAATTTATCTCCTATATATAATATTATTATTTCTCGTATGAGGTGGAAGGTCTTCACACATACTAGACATGTTCTCAGTGTAATAAGCTTGTTGATGATCAAGGAATTATTCATGAAACTATATGACCTGCATATCGCTGCTCTCGGTTAGTCAATGAGCGCATTTGAATAATGAAATAGCGACTCTTATTACGAGGAAAATCGAGAAATTAGATGCAAAATGCCGGGAAAGATTGCGTCCATGCGATACATTTTGCAAATACGTAGGTCGGTTCAAGTGTTCAGTGGATACGTGAGTTATTGCTAGAACTACCCCCTCCCCCCCCCCTCTCTCTCTCTCTCTCTCTTTCACTTGCAGTTAGCTTTAGAGGGATGCAAAGATAGAGATGTTAGAAGGTTATGCAAATAAATTTGGGCTTAACGATATTCTTCTAATTTTATTTTGCTTTCAGGACTTTCTTTTGCGCGGCGTCACACATTTCTCTTCCGCGTCTAGAACCACATGTACCCTTCCTTTTTTCCTACTTCTATATACAGAACAGAAGCTGAGCAGCTTCCTTCTGTCCTGATTCATCACATCTGAAACGTGATATGGCACAATGTCCGCTGGAAGAGTTCATTGGCAGTTCGTAAATTGTCCAGCCCCTGGACGCCCTCACCCATACCCTCTATCCATAACTAAACTCTATCTACATGTACTAAGTGCTACGGCCATTTGTATTAATACCTTGAACGGTTTCAAAATTCAAATAAAGCTTGTTTAAATGTTGTTCCAATTCAGTTGTGATCTTTCAGTTTACAGGTGCCATCCTTGCCAGAATAGGATGGTCAAGAGGTCGCTGAGATTTCATCTATTTACTGGCGAAATCTGCGCTGGCAGTTGCGGTTATATAGTCAAAATTAAAATACTTTCTAGATTAAAGTGAATATGAGTTTTACATAGTATATATTCAAAATATGGCGAATCCTTTTAAAAAGATCTAATTTTTTTTCTATTTTCTTAAAAGTGAAATTCTGAACTAGGATTAGATACCCTATTATGCCTAAATTTAAACTAAATTAAATTAATTTATTTCAAATTAAAGCTAAATGACGGCATTTTACATCTTATTATAGCTTTGTGATCGTCCAGATATAAGCGTAATGGGTTCAAAGGTTTCCCATTAGAAAAAAAGGGGTTAATTAAATTTTCTGTTGCTACACGATTTCTGTGAGTCGAAAAAGTTATATGTTCTCTTGAGTGGGTCCACGAAGGCGCGAATAGCTGAAGGCATAATGAAGGCAAAAACTGTGAGTCCATTAGCTTCACCAGCATTCCCCAAGCGGTAACCTGAACGATGCAGAGTCATATATGATGAGATCACATCGCCTGACTTCAAAAGGCTAGTCTGAATAGTAGCTACTGAAATAAACAAAGTCTTAGCATTTAGGGCTATCTGTACGATAACAATATCACGAGAACTGTGGCAGAAGACCGTGCGTTAGAAAAAAAAAACAGCAAATCTTATTGGCGTTTCCTCCTGGCTGCAGCATTTGGTTATGCGCCCCTTGCTCCGTTGCGCCCCCTCTTATTTTTGTCACAGGTTATTCGATCGATATTATGAAAAGCATTAACTAAATATTTTAATTTAATAAATATGCGAAAGTCAAGTATATAATCGGATGCAATTTGACTAGGAATCGGCAACGATCATACCTCATAAGTTACAACAATAGTAGCTGATCTCGTGCTTCTATGCTTACGACAGATGAAAAAGCGACAATTATGCATGTTATTGACATGCTGCACGTATCTTCCGCACGTTGCGTCAAACACTATCGAGCAAGTTCCGCTACATGCAGGCTTTTTTTTTTAGGGGAGTATAAAATTTAACCATGATCTGTCATCTTCAATGCTATGTTAGGAAAAACAAGTCTGTTCACGGCAATCAGTGCTTCTCACAGCAGATGTACATGCAGCCTGAAACCTATCAAAGGCTTTTTTAGGTACTGATTTAAGCTATAGATGTTAAGTAAACCTATTTGTATTCATGCAATTTGTTTCGATTTAGTTTTGGAACAAAGAAAATACAACGACGGTTGCGCTTCGTATAGAGAACATAGTTAATAATAATAGTTTTCCAATATACAATATAAAATTATGTCCGGTGCATTTTATTAACATTTCATAGGGCCTAAAAGTCTCTAAAGAAACTCTTAACTATGCAATGTAATGATATATTAATAGCGCATACCACGAAACGATCCATCTTTTGGACTTGAAAGATATGCTCGTATCTAAAAAATCTATTTCGCACATAATTTAACCTATTAAAAAAACAAAAACAAAAAGACTAAATGGATAACATTTTAACGTCGAGTGCTTTTATCCTTAACAAGGTAGTTGAAATAAATTAATTTGTTTATACAAAGCTACGTCAATGGAACAAATTATAACTTCAAAGTTAACTTCAAACTCAGATGATAAGCTAACACAACAATGTCCTTCAACCGAAACCATTAATGGAGATTGTGTCTAACTACTGGATATTTTAAAGCGAAAACAATTACTCTGCGCCAGAAGTTGCGGAGGTAAATTAATTGTGAAGGCATTGATCAAGCATATACGAATCGGTGAAGTAACTTAATGCAGGCAACGACTAATCTGGTGCGCAGTAACCAAAATAGGTTCTTGCCAAAATAGGTTCATGACATTCAATTTATAGGGTTGCATAATCATAGGGAAGCGAACAATGCTTTCCAAGGACACTCGTTCTTCATAGATTAAAAAAAGCGTTAGCAGTTCTTTTTGTTTATTCTTTAACTGTACCCTGTAATTGTATTTTGGCATAGCATTTACACTGTGTTTAGTAGAAGGGTATTCGAATTTGCAGCTGCCAGATTCATTTGATAAATCGTAATAGGATTCAGATATCACAACTCGGTGGAGAAGCAAAAATATAGTAGACAGAACAAAACCTGGATGACGTAAAACTGTAAAAAATCCTCAGCAATACCATGCGTAAAATTATGAACATTATTGGAAACCGTGCGTACGTTCAGGCTAGAAAATTTGCATTGATGGCATGTCTTCATCAATTCCCTCCGACAGGACGCAACAATAGGCCATCGAGGGCAACTACTATTAACATGTGGAATATTTCACATTATGATTTCAATAGATTGGCAACTAGATTAAATAGTCCTGATTTTATATGAAAAATACTGCTGAATATGGATAGTTCTATTTTACGCGACACCTTTTAACGATTTTGATACAGATCCTTGATAGCAACAAGGGTTAATATCTCATTTAGTCTAATTTATTTTAAACACGTATTGACAATTCTAGATACTGCTTGGAGCAGTACAGGTGTACGGATCAACAGCCGAGAATTATGACCTGTATTTTTTAGGGAACGTTTCATTAAGAGAAATAGAACTCTTCCTTATCTAAATCGGAAGACAAAAGTTGCAGGCAGAAGTAAGTGCTACGAATGTCCCACATAGTATGCCAACTGGGTTGCAACTCTACAAACTCGCCCTTACGGTGTAAAGAACGAAAGATCGAAAGTTGATGCTAGAAAAAAGCAGAACTATATTTCTCTAAAAAGAGTGCCCTCAAAGACCTAATATCGTACTTGCTAATCAAAAGAGAAAAGACCCTGACACCGAAACTTGGCAACCCTATGAAGATCGGGAGGTCTAGCTGTAAGTCCCAATATATACCTACAGAGCGCTTTTTCGTTGGTTTTTGCAAATCCTAACTGCTCAGTGAGTAACGTATATGCATGCTAATGTAAGCGAAACGTATCAGTGCAGGATCGAACCGGGCTGTATACATGCTTTATTTCCGTACGTAAATGAGAGCACAGAGTAAAGCTGAGTAAAGCACTCAATAAAAGTGAAGTTTACTACTTTTCATTTTGCTTTGATGTTTTACATACGAGGCATACGCATCCTATTTTGTGCAACGTTATCTTCGCTATAAGGGATCAACTGAATTCGGAACCAATTCAATATGTAAGACTATTTTGTATGACTAATGGTTCGTGTCTAACAAATTAAAAAACACAGTCCTTGGGTGGCAACAGTTTCCAAACCTAAACATGGTTCCTCATATTGTCGGTTTTCCTCACTGCCCTAAGATCTGCGGGAAGGCTTCCTTTGCCTTATGCGTTAAGCATTGATTGCCTCCCGTACTCGCCACCTCTCAGTGGCAATTTTTCGATAAAACGACACGTATCCATATAATAGCTTATACATATATAACGGCCAGTGGATAGCCGACGTAGCAGATCGACTCGAGCCGTTTGACGTTACCCTCGCGAAACGGCTAATGGCGTAGGACACGACGTGATGATGATGATGGTGGTGGCGGTAGTGATGATATTGCTGTTAATAAAGGGCAGTATCTTGGTGCAAGAATGATCCTATGCCGTGTGTAAATGAGAGAATGTGTTATGTGTACCAGTATGTGAAAAGAAAAAGTCCCATCGGGGGTTAGTGATAGAATAAAGCCAATTCAACCGTCAGGCAACTAAGCGGGTGGCATGTGCTGAAAGTTGCTCTGTTCGACTCGGTCAACGGTAATATAGATAGTGCTGAAAAAGATATGGGCATGGCCTTCACGGCTAACGCGCATACAGAAATATTGACAGCTGCACAAGCAACGACTGTAGGATCCTCTACAGGCCCATCAGCGCTGGAGAGATAAGCCATTCGGCTTTCGATATAATAACTAATAGCCTACAAGGTAACGCAAAAAACACACAAAGATGGACCAAGAAAGCTGAGAAAAGAGACTCAAAATTGGCGAAGCTCCTAAAAGACTACCATATTCACGGCAAGGTAATATGTATAAGAATAAGAAAAATAGAGTCATCAATCCCTACTCGAATGGGCTTCCATTTTACCATTCTCTGATAGCTCTTGGAGTTCTTTGGGTCTCTTCAATACTTGCGAAGCCCTTGCTCGATCCTATACATTAGCATGGACGTCGTTACGTGTTTCCGTCTAGCAAGTTCCGTCGCGAACCCCTTAGGACTTCCCTAAACAACTTCGTAAACAACAACAAAAAATAGACGGTACAAAAGACAGCAAATGAGCAACTTCGATAAAATCCCATACAACTATCGAGTAGAATTTCCAAAACACGAAGAAAGAGTTCAAATGATATAATATGTCTATACGAATGACAGTTCTTGAATATGGTAATGCAAAATATCCTTATCTAAAATATTAGTGATAACTGCGAAAAATGAAATGGGGTTTTGAGCGCATACAGGTGTTCTTCGATGGCAGTAAAATAGCCCCTAGTTTCCTCAGCTGTATAGATGTAACCGTTGGTATGCTTATTTACTGTGCATTATATTAAGGGTAAAACAGGAAGGTCCAAGATAACAATACCTGTGGCAAAATTCATTCAATCTATGATCATAGATTCGGTATCACAGCATATTATAGTGGTCAACTATTATACATCTGCTCCTCAGTTGTTTTTACTTAAATAATATAAAAGATGTATTCACATAACTCTGGATGCTAAAAGTCGTTGTTGATAATTCATCCTCATTTAATACACACTCAAATTTTCGCCGCTAGTTATTGCGTTTGCCAAACACTTATTTCTAAAAGAAAGCAATTTAGGCTTTTTTGGGTAATTATCATCTGGCCATGTTGAAATCAAACAGTTTTTCTCTCAGTAATTGAAATGGGCGGACAAGCGAAATTCCCATTAAAGAAATAGAACCTTTCGATCTCACTGGAT